AGACACACAGATCCTGGGGACAGAGCCACAGATCCTGGGGACAGACACAAAGAACAGATCTTGGGGACAGAGCACATCCTGGGGGCAGACCCCCAGAAGAGATCCTTGGGACAGAGCCACAGACCGGACCCCGGGGACAGACAGACACACAGGATAGACCCCGGGGACAGACAGACACACAGGACAGACCCTGGGGACAGCCGTGCCCAGGAGCTCTGGACAGCAGTGGGGACAAGGAGCCGCACCCTGGGGACACGGGGATGCCCTCACGAGTGGCAGTGCCACGGCATGGACACGACTCTGCAGAGCCCGGTGACAGCGGTGACAGCCCTGCAGTGACGCTGGGTGCACCGTGAGGTGACGGTGACAGGACAGGGGAATGCCCCGGGACAGGCACAGCCTGGCCCCGGCGCCCCGCGGGGATTTGGGGTGACAGAAATGAGCCCTCGGAGTGTTCTGAGCTCAGAACGAGCCCTCGGAGCCGGCTGCGCTCAGACCGACCCACAGTCGGCAGTTTCGGCCGAAAAAGGCTCCTCTTCCCCTTCCCCCAGGGCTCCTCTTCCTCTCCTTCCCCCCTCGGCCCCTTTTCTCAGCTCCTGAAGGCAGCAGGTGTGTGAGCAAACCTCCTGCCCAAGGCTCAGCACTGCCAAAAGCAGCCGGGCTGAGGGCAGGAAATCATCCCAGCAAAGCTCAGGAAGGGGAAGGGAAAGCACCCCTAAAACTCCAGAGCCAAACACTGCCCACCCTGTCTGCCTGGGCTACCTGCAGCTCTCCTTGCAGCACTGCCACTGGGGCAAGAGCCCAGCACAAAAATAGATTTTGTTGTCAGGGAAAAACTGGGCTCTGTCACCCCAGAGAGAGTGGGGCACCTCCAGAGCCAGGTGCAGATGGGCCCTGAGGGATGCAAAACCTTGTGGGGGATGCAGGGGGATGCAGAGGGATTCACGGCACTGGGAGGATGCACAGGGAGCTGCTGGTTTGTAAGAATCCTCGTTGATGCTCTGGGGAAGCAGTGAACTCAGCAGAGGAAGGGTTTAATCCAGAAATCCAGAACAAGGGGCGGTGGTGGCTGCCCAGAGCACAGGAACAGCCCCAGGCAGGGCAGGGTGGCAGCCACTGCCTCGGCTGTGGGGCAGGAGCTCATGGGGCACCTCATGGAGGTGCTGGGGAGCCACAGAGCCCTCGGAGGCTGCAGGAGGGGTGAGGGTGTCTGGGGCACTGCAGGTGAGGAAGGGGGCACGCAGCCAAGGAAACGGGGCTCCAGCCCAGCCAGCCCCAGGATTGCACAGCTGAGAGCACCCTGCCTGCTCCCTGCTCAGCCAGGAGGGACAAACCACCCCCAAGTGCTTCTCACTTCCCTCCCGAGGGCTCACCAGGGTGGAAACTGCGAGTCTCTGCTGCTATTTACAGCGGCGAGTTTCCCCTGCAAAACCCCGAGAGCAGCTCAGGCTAGGGCCGCCTCGGCAGGGCCATCTCCTGCTCTGCCACACTCACCAGCTCAGGCAGTGCCAAAATCGGGATTTCCCTCCCAGGGGAGGCTCAGCGCAGCAGTGATCCCGTCCTTTGTGCCAGGTACAACATGTGGCAGTGTGGCACTGTCCCTGTGGTGCCTCCTCTGCTGCTCCTTGCTCCAAGCCCTGGGGTGCTCAGGATGGTGCCAGAGCTGCTTCCCACCCTCCTTTAGGATCTGGGATCTCATGGGCCACATCCATGAGGTGCTGGGCTCCTCTGGGCTCTGCTCCCCCTGAGCAGGACCAGTCTCCAGTGTCCCTGCAATGGGCACGGCAGCCAAACATCCCCTGGCCTCTCCAGCTGCACATGGCGAGCACAAATCAGGAGATTTGAACCAAACAGAAGAGCCCTTGGTGCTGCTCCACGAGTGCTTTTAGTAACAGGTATTGCTGCTTCCTTCCTCCTCGAGCTGCTTCTGCAGAAAGGTCCCTCCGGGCTGAGCTGAGTCACGGCTGTGCCACGCTGCCAGCACCTCGTGTGCTGCCAAGCCATGCCCAGCATCCCTGCAGGAGCAGGACAAACCCCTGGAGCTGCCAGCAGGGCAGAGGGGGCTCTTTGCCCCTGTGAAAACGAGATGTGCTATTAATGAGTTGTTAGTGTGCTATTAATGAGTTATTAGTGTGCTATTAATGAGTTATTAATGAGTTATTAATGCTCTGTGCCCCCAGCCCAGCCAGGACTCGGCTGCCCATGCAGGGCATAGCACAGCCCTCCTGCCTCCCAGACATGGAGGCACCTGAGAAAATCAGTGTCTCAGGCACCTCACCAAAAATAAAAAAATCAGTGTTTAAGGCACCCCACTGAAAAAAAAAATAAATAAAAAAAATCAGCATTTAAGGCACTTCACCAAAAAAAAATTAAAAAATCAGTATTTAAGGCAACTCACAAAAATAAAAGAATCAGTGTTTAAGGCAACTCACACGTTCTGTGAATTGTGAACAGGAGACACGAGAGTGGCTTGCGCTGACCATGCTGGGGACATGGGGAGGATGGAAGTGCTTGGTCCTGGCAGGGTAAAACTCCTTTCCTGGCAGGGTGAAACACCAAAACACCTTTCCTGGTAGGGTGAAACACCTTTCCCTGAAGGAAACACCCCCCTGGCACAGGCTGCAGTGGTGGAACCACCCCTGGAGGGATTTTAAAGGTGTTTCAGGGTGGCACTTGGGGACTGTGACAGTGCTGAGGACATGGCTGGGCTCAGTCTGAGAGGGTTTTTCCTACCTTTATAATTCTGGGATTCTGCTGATGGCTCCCACTGCACAGGGCCCTCTGCAATGTGCCCACCTGGCCCAGCACACCTGTCGCTGTCCTGGTGACACACCAGCCCGCAGGGTCCCCACGCTGTCCCCAGCAGCCCAGAGCCAATGCAGGGCTCTGAGTGTGCAGCCAATTTGCATGGAAGGGACGGGGGGAAGCCCCAGGAAGTGCAGAGCCAGGCATTAACCAAATCTCTCTAATAATAACCCTGGGCCCGGCAGGGCTCAGTGCTGCAGCTCCAGGGCCATGGCTGGAGCCCAGGGGGAGTAACCACTGCTGAGAGCCACATGTGAGTGACCCATGGGGGGCTCTGGGGTGGGATGGGGGGTTTGGGGCCAGGGCTGGGGCTGGGGATGCTCCCAGGGCCAGCAGGGAGAGGAGTCTCTGTTCAGAGCTCCCACCCTGCTGTGGGGCTGGACGGGGAAGCACAGAATGGTTTGAACTGGCGGGGAGCTGAATTCTCATCCAATTCCCCCCCCTGCCATGGGCAGGGACACCTTCCACTGTCCCAGGTGGCTCCAATCTGGCCTTGTCCCTGTCCTTGTCCCAATCCAACCTGGCCTTGGGCACTTCCAGGCATGGGGCAGCCACAGCTGCTCTGGGCACCTCACAGGGAAGAATTTTTCCTGATAATTTATCTAAATCTACCCTCCTTCAGCTAAAAGCCATTCCCCCCTGTCCTGTGGTTCCTTAAAGCTTGGCATGAGGGGTGTGTGGGGGAATTCGGAGGGTCCTGGTGGTTGAGAGGCAAAGACTCACCTGGCTCTGCTGGAAAATCCATGGCTGAGAATTCCGTGCTGGGAGCACCACGTGTACCTTGGGACTCCCCAGGGAGGGGAAGGTCTGTCCTAGAAGAGACCAAACATCTCCTTGGGGGTGTCCTTGGGAGGGAGGTGCTCAGGCTGCAGCCCCTCAGCTTTAACACAGCCCCAGATCTGTTCCCATCCCTTATCCCATGGGAAACCCACCCAGGCCAAGGCTGGCTCAGCCCCCTGCCATCCCCTGGGGTTGCTCTGGGTGCAAAGCCCAGGTTTGGTCCCAAAGCACCCGAGGGGAGCAGTGGCCTGAGCCTCGCTTTGCTCTGGGGATGTCTCTTTTATATTTTATATTAAATAAGTCATTATTTAATTTTATAGCAATGTTAATTGAAAGCCTGGGAGTGTCAGGGAGCATCCCAGTGCAGAGAGGATTTTCCCCTGGGAATGGGGAGGGTTTCTCCTGTGCTGCCCCAGGTAGGACCCAGCCCCTCTGCAGGGAAGGTTCTGGTGGGCAGGGGCAGCACAGATGTGCAAAGTGCCCAATCTCAGTCCTGGAGAGAGATCCTGCCAGAGCACAGGGGATTTTCGCTATAAAAATCAAAGTTTTGGCCCTGCCAAAGCAGCAGCTCAGTCTGTGGGCACACAGAGCTGACAATGCAGCTTGGGGAAGCTTTGAGCCTTTGGGGCCATCAGCACCAGCATCTCCCACCCTGCAGGAAAGAGCTGCAGCTCCAGGAGGCTCAGGGAGGGATGAGGCTCTCGGAGCCCTCTCACGAGCAAAGGGCTCGTGGCCAGCATTGCCCCCCTCTGCTGGGTTTGAGCTTCCTGCAGCTGCAGCCCCTGCATGTGGCACAGCCCAGGGGCTCTAAATTCCTCTAAATGTGACGTCTGGGTGGTTTTTGTGCTGCTGAGAGCTGCTCCTGTGCCCCTGGCATCACATCCAGTGCACAAGGGCAGCAGAGGAGGGGACAAGCAGCCTGTGACAGGGACAAGAGCACGTCCACCTCCAGCTGGCACTGCTTAAACTGGTGCCTGAAGTCTCCTGGGGACATTTCCCTCCTTCTTCTGTTCTGACATTTCTTATTCATCAGCCTGGTTTCACTATGACACCAGAACACCCAAGAGAAAGGGCGGGAATGACACACAAGGTGGTGGTTCTGGTACTTTCAGAAAAGCCTGTAAGGACAGCAATAGTCCCCAGTGCTCCTCTGGCAGGTGCAGGGACCCCCAGACCCCCAGGGCACAGCTCAGGGGCACCTCCAGGCCAGGCTGGGCTCTGTGTGTGTCCCCTGGCACTGGCACAGGACACACACACAGAGCCTGAACAGCAGATTGGGCTGTGTGCTCCTGGGCCCAGAGAGGCTGAGGCACAGCCAGGATCCCCCTGCAGGGTCCCAGCCCCAGAAGGGGACGAGGTGGCTGCAGAGCTCCCCATGGTGACCCCCCACACCCACCTGTGTCTCTCCTGCAGCCATGGATGGGCCACGAGCGGGGCAGGATGCCATGAGGAACTGCACTGACCACGAGTACTGGGACACCCTCGTTGCGCAGTGCATCCCCTGCAGCCTGGCCTGCAGGCAGTCCCTGGCCAGGAAGTGTGATGCTGTGTGTGGTGAGTCTGGGCTGCCCTGCATGGGAGAGCCAGGGATGGGGCCAGCCTGGGAGGGAGCAGCAGAGCCCGGTTTGAGCCCCAGGGCAGCCTCAGAGCCAGCTCAGGCCAAATGCACAGGGGGATGTGACAGCTCCCCAGGGATGGGCTGGGGCTGCAGGACCAGGGGCTGCAGCTCTGCTCCCTTCTGGGGTTACCAGGCTGAACTCCAATCCTGTTCTCTACTGGGGAATTCCCAATTCCACCCTCCAAAGGCAGGGATGTGGATAATGACAAACCCCAGCCTGGGACAGGGCCTGAAAACAGCTGGGGAGGAGGACAAGGGACAAATGAACTCTGGTGCCCAGCCCTATGCCAGCACCCTTCCTGGAGTCACAGGCTGAGGTGGCTTCACCCCTCCAGGGCTCACTCAGCAGCCACAGGTGAACATCTCCTCCTTGAGGACAGGAGATGCCATTCCTGGCTTCCTGAGGCAGGTTTTGGTGTGTCCCAAGGCACTGTGCAAGCCCCAGGCCAGCAGCAGCAGCAGCCAGGAGCCCCCAGGCGAGCCCAGGCTGGCTGAGACCATCCCCACCCCTCAGCTGCCAGCAGGGGCCTTTCCCCAGCTCTCCACCCCAAATCCCGGGTCTGTCCCCCTGGCAGCCCCACAGGTGCTGTCAGTGCTGGGGGTGCAGGCAGATCCCCCCTGGGCTGCCAGAGCAGGAGCTGGGCTCGGCCTGCCGTGCATTGGGGTGGGATGGATGTGCTGAGGACACCGTGGTCATCTCACTCCCTTCCTCTCTCCTTCCCCAGAGTCCATGGACTGCAACAACAGACCGGGATTTTACTACGATGATCTGGTGAAGAGCTGCATCAGGTGCAGCTCGGTGTGCGGGCAGCACCCCCGGGAATGCGCCCCGTCCTGCGAGCGTGAGTTGGGCAAGGGGCACCAGAACCCCCCCTTGTCGTGGAACTGGGGCTGGGGAAAGCAGCCAGGGCCCATTTCCCATTTCCCCCATCCTACCCTGGCCTTCTCTGGTGCTCACAGCCTGGGCAGCTCCCGGGGCAGGGGGGAGTTGGCAGCCGTGGGTCCCACCCGGCTGAGCTGTCCCAGGGAGGGGCAGAAAGAGGGGACAGGCAGAGCCCCAAGATCCCCAGTTCTTACACTGGGGTTGGGGTCCTACACCCACCTGAAGATGTGGGAGGGTGTGAATGGGATGTGGGAAGGGATCTCCTCCACCTTACCATGGAGCCCCAAGATAAACAATTCCTTCCCTGGGGTTGAGAAGATCCCTGAAGATGTGAGAGGGTGTGAATGGGGCATGGGAAGGAATTTCCTCCACCTCACCGTGGAGAAGCACCAGCGGGCAGAGGGGACACGGAGCTGCCCCCAAA